GTGAAAGAGAGGGCTAATGCACTACGTGGCTATCACCGCCACGTAGCCCTGCTCACCTACCTCCTTTGGCTTTATTAGCTTGATCTAAAATTAACTTCTAGATGCAATCATCAGGGTTAGTATCCTTGGAAAAGTATATGCTTCTACAAGGTCCGGTCTTTAAAGACTAAACATAGAGATTCTAGTAAATCACCCCCGGGGATCGGACTTGTTTGGAAAAGTGAAAGTGGGGCTGCCGCCTCAGAGGCTCCAACCTTTTAGAGAATCCTCCTTACAGACAAGTCCTGTACTTCCCCACAAGAATGGGCTCTGGTATTATATTTCACATATGTGGTGCTAATTTTATGCTAATTAAGTCATGTATGTGCTATTCATTAGTTCAGCTGTGATGTGTAAGTTAAATGTTTGTTCAAATCTCAAGTTGCCCTTAGCAGTAGAAGAAGGTTAGATGGTTGTGTGGGAACGCCTCATTGCTGCATGGCGTCAAGCTCATCTACCATAAGAAGGCGGGTTGCTGTTTCTCTTGCATTTTTACTAACATATTTGCGGCCTCAGCTGTCAGACGAGTTTTGTTTTTCTTGTCTGGTCCTGTTTTATTTTAGGCTTTTGATAAACAGGAATAGCTGTTGTTAAACTCTAAGGGAATGTTTGAAGAAACTGTTAAACAAATTGAGAACTGAGAGTTTTATCCAGAAAGGATTTAACTTTAAAAAGGGAGGAGTTGGGGGGAGAATCAAGATAATCACACAATTCTTAATATTTAGGATAAAAAATTGGAGTCTTTTAAAATATTTTTTTTCTTCTTCAAATCTCAAATTTGCTGCAGAAGCACCAACTAGTTATTTTCCTACTTGTTTAAGGCAAGTGTGACACTTGAGGTGATGAGCTTGAGTGCTATCAGTTTTCACCTAGGTCTAAAAAGTTCCCTGTAGTCCAGCCCTCCCATGGGTCCTGTGCATGGCCAGTTCAGCTAACCCTATCGTGGTGCTGGGGGAAAGAGAGTACGGTAAAAGCCAAGTGCTGAAGGGAAGTCATGCCCAGGCTTTATTCCCTGTCCTTCAGACATGCCATGCATGTTTTGGCCTCCTTGGCTTGTGCTAAGATTTCTCCGGATTGAAATGAAGTAATTTCTTCCTGAACTATTCTGTGTTTTCTGAATTTTGTAATGGTTGGCATTTTGTTTTTGTAATTGGGTATTGTTAGTGAGCTTTCCATGTACCTGTGGGTTGCCTTTCAAAATTGATATTATCATAGATTTGGCTGTGCCTCCTTTATTCCCAGTTACTTGCAGACTGAGAAGGTGGGTTGCTATTTCTCTTGCATTTTTACTAACATGTTTGTTGCCTCACGTGTCAGACGAGTTTTGTTTTCTTAGTTGGCTGGTTGTATGCACAATGCCAGTCAACTACCTCCACTTGTTATGGTTTGCACTAACAGTGGAGATGTTTTCAGTCATTAGGAACCTCCATGTGGATGGTCTTCTTATCCTTGGCTATTTCTGCTGACAGGATCCAGCAGTCCACATGGGGCCATGATCTTGCTTGCTGTGGTGTGCTTTTCTACTGGGGGTGTGTCATGGTTCTGACATCATCACTGGACTCTGGTTTGAAAAGCTGTTCTGAGTAGATGGTGTCTGCAGAGTTCAAAACTCTGCTACTGCGAGGACACATGTTTACAAACATATGGCTAACAGAGCACATTGTAGGAAGGTTAGGCAGTTTTTAAATTTTTTATTGATTTTTAGAGAGAGAAAGGAACAGGAGGGAGAAACATTAATGAGAGAGAAACATCTATTAGTTGCCTCTTGCACGCCCCCTGGGGATTGAGCCCACATGTGCCCTGGCTTGTGCCCTGACCAGGAATCAAACTGATGATCTTTTGATGCATGGGAGATGCTCAACTGACTTGTGCAATGTCAGACCATTTAACTCAAAATATTTTTATTTATATAAAATATTTTATATATTTTATAAAATATATAAAACGTTGATTATATATTTAAAATATATAAAATTTGACATATTTTATAAAACATATAAAAGGTTGGTAACTTTGGTTAATAAAGTTATATAGGTTTCAGGTCTACAGGTCTACAATACATCATTTGTATATTGTATTGTGTGTTTACCATCCCAGGTCAGGCCTTTTTCTGTCACCATTTATTCCTTCTTTACCCTCTTTTACATCCCGCCACCCCCTTTTCCCTCTGGTAATCACCATACTGTTGTCTGTGTCTATGAGTTTTTCCCCCCCAAAGAGACATTTTATTGCCCTTTTTTGTGTGACTGCTGAAATAGTATGTGCCGCTAGATGCTTTTGTGATTAAAGCCCTAAATTTTGTCATTAAAGCACCGGATTCTTATTGCATCTACTCTATCTGTGCATTTTTAAAATTCTCACCCAAGGATATTTTCCCATTGATGTTTAGGGAGAGTGGAAGAGAGAGGTAAAGACAGAGAAATATCGATGTGAGAGGAACATCGATTGGTTGCCTCCTGCATGAGTCCTGACCAGGGCCTAGACTGGGTAGGAGCCTGGTACATGCCCTTGACCAGAATGGACACTCCATCCACTGAGCCAAACTGGCTAGGGCTATCTGTTTAAAGCTTAAAGCTTCATAAACTAGCTTTGCTCCTCTTTTGGTAACCAACCCTTTCTGATACAAGTTACAAGTTTTACTGTTTTTGAGATAGTCCATTTCATACTTTAATTACTAGTTATGTAATTATGTTGTGTTTAAATTCTCATAGAGTTAATTTGTTTGTTTACTTCCATGCAAGATTTTTGTCAACATTTTACTTTTAAATATGCTACAGAATAGTAATAGTAGAGACTGTGGTATGTACTTGCTGTGTTTTTTGTTTTAGTGCTTAGATTGTTGTACTCTTCTCCCCCGCAGCCCCCCATAGTATGTATTTTAATTTTCAGAAGGAATAATTGAAGGCACAGATATATAGATTTCAAATACTTCATAGGGGAAAACTTTATAAGGGCAGAAAACTAACCATATATTTAAGGAATTAAGAAATAATGTGGCACTGATGTATATAATCTCCTTTACTTGTATTTAATAAGGTGTCTTTGAGCTCCTATTTAAACAGTCCTTATTTCATTTGCATTTGAAATTGATCAGATTGGCCTAGGTAAAATCTTAGGTCGCATTAGGGACTTTTGAACCACGTTAGGGACTTTCAGGAAAAATCTGAGTGCCAACAAATTTTGAAACAAATAGATTAATAAAAGAATACAGATTGCTCTTTGGCTTGAGATAATCAGTAACATATTTCAAAGCATTCTTTGGGGGTGTGAAGCTATGATTATGAAAAAGTTCCTGTGCTTTCATATAGTAGACCAATACTCTCATATTCTAGGAGAGTAGGGACCATATATTTGTCATCTTTGTGTCTGATTCAGTGCCTGCAACATAATAGATGCTCCGTAAATATTTGAATGAATGCATAATCTCCACAGCCCCATTAGGACAATGAATTGTAACGATGGACATGTACATCTTCAAAACATTGTTGTAAGTGCTATGGAGGTGTAGGATAGAAAATAAAGTGGAAATGCAGACTGATGTTGCAGAGATAGGATGTTAGGAATTGAAATTTGGGTAAGATTTTCTTTCACTAGTTAAGAGTTGGGGAAAACTTTTCAGGAGGGCACAAATAAGCAGTAACACATTTGAGCGGCAAGGATATCCCATAAATGACTAGCTGATATCTTGGTGTATATGAATCTACACATATATGCCCTTTCTCTGTCTGTATTGCTCCTTTCCCTGCTGAAAACCTTTCCTGTAATCGGTGCCTGCAGAGATGTTCTTGGTAATAAGACTCAGGTGCACTCTAGTCTTTGTCAAATCTTTTGAAGATATTATCTTGGCTCTTCGTAAATGATAGTAGGAGTGTCCTGGGAGGAAAAGGGAACCCCACCTCTGGCATCAGCAGTCCTCAGGAGACATGTTCCTTCACTCTCCCAAGTGGGTATGGTCTGAGCCACATTCTAAGTACTGCCATCTGGTGTCCACTGCCTTGAGCCACACTTACTTCGTGATGTCACGGTGCTGTGTTACTCTCAGCTGGACCCCACGTAGTGTGGTGCTGGATTTGAGTATAGGAGCCTTAAAGTACAGCTGGATACCCATTTGCTCAGGTTTCAAAAGGAAATCTGAGGTAGGTGCAAATCCTCTGAAAAATTTCACTAATTCCATACAGTCGTCTTCTCTGTATGAGCTTGAGAATATTTCTTTTGATACAGTCATGTTTAGTATTGCCAGGTGTAAGGAATTAATCATGTATTTTAAAGTAATTTGAGATAATTTCTTTAAGAAAAATTTGGAGGTGGTTTTGGATAAAGTAATATGAGAAGGGAGTGGAGATCTGCTTTGGGGTCAACTTTTTGATGGTTCATTGTAAAATTCTGAGCTATTTAGAGTTGATCATGTTTCATTGAGGTTTTCTTTACAGCTCAAATTCCCTTTTGTCTAACTCAGTCTCTCTTGTTTGCTAATAGGAGAGTATAAGATATGTGAGGGTAGGTTTTTCTTTTGTGAGGTTGGATTCGTAGGGATCTCTTTGGTTGGTTATTTCTTTTATAGATACTGGAAAAGTATTCAGCATTTTAGTTCGCTTTAAAGGATCTCACACCACATAGTAGTTAATGTCTTAGCTGCATGTGGTCTGTGATAGGCCATAGAGTGAGTCTGTAACTTCAGGCATAGAGGCCTTATTTTAATGTTCACAGATTGTTTTTTCTGCAGAATTGGATCTAGCACTATCTAGTGCTTCCTAATCAATATATCTTTGATAGATAACGTGGTGGAAATGATTATTTCCTGATATTGAAGTTAGTGAAATATATTAATTAGTGAGTGGTATATTTTTTATTTTAAGGAGATTCTTTTTTTTAATAACAGGAAGTTTTCACAGTTAAAATTGTTGCATTTTCTTTTTGTGATGCTAACTTGATGCATTTGATATTTGTGTTCCTTTGTACAGGATCCAAGCTACTGGATACAGGTGCATCGACTGGAACATGGAGATGGAGGAATACTGGATCTTGATGACATCCTCTGTGACGTAGCAGATGATAAAGACAGAGTGAGTTCAAGTCTAGGGAAGCTGCTCTGAATGCCTGTTATGAAGACTGGGAGGGAGTGGGTAGGTGGGAATACTTTCCTTCCTGTTTTAGACACACATACTTTAAAGAACATTTGGGCCACTCACTCTGGATTATTTGTTTTATAATAAGTATTATGAATTTTCACTACCCCGAACCCTAAGGTATAATGCTTTCCTTGATACCTGGGATGCAGTGCTAAGTTTTGGAATTTTAAAATTGTAACTAAGTGGATATATCTTTAAAAGGTGTTTTTTCCCCCATCTCCTTCTCCCCTCCCCCTCGTATTTTAACAAAACGTAGCATCTTTCCTGACAAGTCTCAAGTCCCTCATTGTGATCATTATGTGTTTCAATGTGCTTCTGATCCCCACTTTGGCTCATCTCGATAGCTGGTCTGTGGGATGCACCACCTGTGTGCAGCCCTAAGATCTCCCTTGTGTCCTGGGCTCTCAGAAAGCCATCTTTTCCTTCATGTTACTTGGGTGCTTTTACGGGAATGCTGTCTTTAATGAAGTCTGTGATTTTGGCATGGTGAACGTGGCCACCCACAGGCACTTTATTATTTGCTTGTACTAACCCTTTGACTGCACCCTAAGTGGGGAAGGAGGGGAAAGCGAGAGAATAATAACTGCATTTTAAGAATTTGTGAGAGGATATTTGTTTCTGCATATTAAAGTCAGCAAATTTTTAAAAAAGTATTTTTATTGATTTTAGAAAGGAAGGGAGAGGGAGAGAGATAGAAACATTAATGAGAGAGAACCATTGACTGATTGATTGGCTACCTCTTGTATTCCCCCCACTGGAGTGGAGCCTAGTCATGTGCACTTACCAGGAATTGAACTGGAATTGAACCATGACTTCCTGGTTCATAAGTTGACGCTCAACCACTGAGCTAAGCAGTCCATACATCAGTAAATTCTGTATTGTAATAAGGTGATGTGACTTGAATATGCTTTGGCCACACCCTCTTTTGTGTTGCCTTATAACAAATCGTAGAAAGGCTCAGTGGTATACACAATTGTGTCATCATGGCCATGTAATAGCACAAGTTAGATTAAACCAGCGAGGATATGTCCTGGGGTTGATGGTAAAATCCACTGGGCTCTGGTCACTGAGCTGAGAGCTCTCTCTTATTACTGGTCCTTTGCCTCATCCTTCATCCTCCTCTTTGCTTGGCTGTGAGCTGGGTAAGCACAGCTGTTATGTCTTGTTTACTCCTACATTAACATGGTTCCTGCCTCAGAAATAGTGGGTGTCTTATATGTTTTCTTGAAATATTAAAAAAAAATTAAGAAATTTTAAATTTTTAATTAAAAAATATTATGCACATTGAGGGATATCTGATTTTATTGTTTCTGTGGGCCAGGAGCACATAGTGTTAGAAATGCAGAACTTTTCTGCCCATTTGTGATTTGCTGTCATTTATCTCTTTTGAACTTTCCAGTGGGGCAGGAGTAGGTGACTTCCAAATTCTTTGCCTGCATTACACATAAAGACTTAAATTATAGTCACTTTATTGTGTGGTTCAGCTCCAAAGCTTAAGGCAACTACAGAGATTTATGTAGGTTTTAAATAGGTGCCCTTCCCTTGACATAATATTATGTAGCAGGCTATGGTCATGCCTTTGTTTCAGTGCTGCATGATAGATGTTAGTGTCCCCATTTTATTATTTTATTTTTTAAAAATATATTTATTGATTTTTTTACAGAGAGGAAGGTAGAGAGGGATAGAAGTTAGAAACATCAATGAGAGGAAACATTGATCAGCTGCCTCCTGCACACCCCCTTCTGGGGATGTGCCCACAACCGAGGTATATGCCCTTGATCAGAATTGAATCAATCTTCAGGCTAATGCTCTAACCAAAGTGGTTAGGGCTGGGTAACGCTTTTAACAGTAGTGCAATATATAACAACACTTTGTTGCCTTTAAATTTCTTGTGCTTGTATTATTTATCAGTAGATATTCTGGTATACACTAATGTTTGATTATGTAGTCTCTTCAGTTTTGTAGTTTCTTTAATGATTGCTTTATGTGGTTTTTAAAATAATAATGGCATTGCTCTTGCTAACAAGTAATAAACTCTTAAGATTATTAGCTAAATTAAAAAATATTTTCTTGAATATACTGCCTTTCAGTTCATGGGTTATGCTTATGTATGTCCTAAAGCTTTGAGTTTTATGGGCTCTAGTTTAATAGTACCGGAGTATTAATTGTGTCGTGAATATTCATAGTATTCAATGCTCACTAGAAGCTTAATTCTCCCTTTTCTCACGTATTTTATTTTCATGTTCCCTCCTCACACTCAGCTTCAGTTTAGTTAGATCTGAAATGAAGTGAAGGAAAGGTACATGTGTTGACTTTTGAGGGGGCACACAAACACCTCTGATCTTTTTTCTGGAACAGAGAGGTGTTTTAGACTCCTATTTCATTTTCTTGTGAATATTTTGTCCTATATTTATCTGAGTAAAAGGTGTATATTTAAGCAGTTGATCACTCAATTACTCATACACTGGAGGCAGAGAATGTTTAAGGAGCCAAAAGGATGGTCCGGCTAAGAGCAATCCTGTTTTTGGAGTACAAGTTATGTTTTGATCCTATCCTATAACCTCTGTCTATTTTGGCAAAGAATGAGTTGGAACCTTTGAACCTGATGTGTTTACTCACACCCTGCTGACAGAAGGTGTGTTGCTACACCCTGTTTTATTCCAGTGTAACTCTCTCTGCCCTATTTAATTGGCAAAGGTTCTTTCATTTAGTGCAGTGGAGCCTGTCCCTAGTCTCCACTAAGCCTGGATCAGTGCTGCCATAAGCAAAGTCCTCAGTCCATGGAGCGTTACTTAGTGTGGTGTGGGCTGTCCTTATTTCCCACTGATTTTCATTTTGCTACTTTCTTGAGGACTTAGCCTAATGCAGGTCGAATATCAGGATTTGGGGACTTTTTATTTGAGGATCATTTTATTCTGTACTTAGTTTTGGAATCAACTTCCTATGGATTTTGCCTTTCTTATAGGGTGAGTGGGCAGAAAGAGTGAAGAGAAAACTACAGAGAGGTATTACTTTTTTTCTGGTTCATCTCTAAAGGTCTTATTTAGTGAAGGCTCTGAGATTTGCAAAGTCATTGAACTTCAAAAGGGCCATTTCAGAAATCAGCCAAAAGTAGGTTGGTACAAAAATTTCTCCTCTTTAGATTTCCTTTGGAATTGAAGAAAGTAATATCTTTTTTATTATTTATTTCATAATATTCTTTTGGAAAAGTTTCTTGATTAATTTGATCATTTTTTATAGCTTCAAAGCTATTGACATTCTCTGTGCTGTCATTCAATTTATGGATGTTTATTTTTATTGTATGTCACAAAACAAGCAGTTGTAATGTTATCAGAAGATTCTGATTAATATGAAATCTTCCAAAATACTATTTTAATCAGGATCCTCATGGTACTCAAACATGTTACTGAAAGAACTAGTTGACCTGTATGCATAAACAAAATGTTAGAATAAAAGCTAATTTGTGCTTTTATAATAACACTAGAGGCCCAGTACACAAAATTCATGCATGGGTTTGTGTGTGTGTCTGTCTGTCCCCATCCATCAGCCCAGCCGAGACCCTCTCCAATCTGGGATTTCTCTCATAATCCAGGACTGCTGGCTCCCAATCGCTTGCCTGCCTGATTGCCCCTGACTTCCCTCCCCTGCTGGCCCAGTCACCCCTAATTGCTCTCCCTTGCCAGCCTGGTTGCCCCTAACTGCCCTCCCCTGCCAGCCTGATCACCCCCAGTTGCCCTCCTTGCAGGCCTGGTTTCCCCCAACTGCCCTCCCATGCAGGCCTGGTTGCCCCTAACTGTCCCGTGTCTCTCTCCCCTCCCCCTTCCCCTCCAAGCCTGGTCCCCCACACAGCCTGCTGTTCAGTCATTTGATCACCCCTCAGTAAACTCCTCTGCCAGCCTGGTCACCCCACATAGCTCACTGTTCACTCATTTGGTCATCTCTCATTAACCCCTTTGCCAGCCTTGTTGTTCAATGCAGCCTGGGTTAGTCCATCCATTTGTTTCAGGTGTGACTGCCCCTGGCTTTTTATATACTAGGATTTATTATATAGAGGCCTGGTGCACTAATTCATTAATCAGTGGGGTCCCTCGGCTTGGCCTGTGGGATCGGTCTGAAACCGGCTCTTCAATATCCCCCAAGGCATCCTAGATTGTGAGAGGATGCAGTGCAGCCCAAGGGACCCCATTAGTGTACAATTGGGGCAGAAAAAGGATGTGGGATGTTGGCCAGCCAGGGAAGTACTGCCGGAGGGCTCCAGGGCTTGTTCGGTCTGACTCACTTGGTTCCAATCGGCTGAACCCCAGCAGCAAGCTAACCTACTGGTTGGAGTGTCTACTTCTTGGTGGTCAGTGCATGTCAGAGTGACTTGTAAACTGGTTGACAGTCTGCCCGCTGGTGGTCAGTGCACGTCATAGTCAATGGTTGAGCAGCCTTAGCATATCATTAGCATATTATGCTTTGATTGGTTGAATGGCCAACTGGATGACCGGACACTTAGCATATTAGGCTCTTATTATGTAGGATTATTATTTCCCATATGAACAACTGTATATCTACTTTTGCCCACCCCAGTATTTTTGTCTTCACATGTATGCTAAATCCTGAGTACCTTTAGTTTCATCTTCTTTTTCCTTTTTTTTAATTTTTATTATCATGGAGACCATGATGTATCAGAAACAAGTCAAGTATGAGAAATTTCTAATCTCTAATATATTTTCTCCAGCAGAAACCACATTCATAATAGATATTTGTGGCTAAGAATTTTCAACAATCCTGAATTATTTCAGTGTGGCAGATTTTATGTTCAGATCAATGTAATTTGAGTTAAGGACTCAGTAAAAACTTGTTTTTAAGAAATTAAACAGAATATACAGAAAGTAAAACAGCAATAAATGAGGAAATTGAGGGTGCTGATCCAGTTTGCAAAACCTTTT